AAAAATGGCGCAACACGTGCAACCGGGTATTGCATTAGAATTTATCAAACAAGACAACGGTTATCGTCTCCGTTAACCCGAAACGAGGTGTGAAAAATAAAAAAACATCAATCAAATATTACAATAAAAGTAAGAATTATTTGGAGGTAAAAAACCCTGTGCAGACAGAACATCGAAACGAGATGCGACGACAAAAGGAAAAGAAAGGGTGCAACACGAGGACTTCCCAGGAGATCATCCATCCTAGTATTACTCTCGCCCAAGCACGCTTCACTGCGGAGTTCTGATGGGATCCGGTGCATTAGTGCTGGTATGATCGCACTCGTCGGCTCTTGCGTTCACTACGTGGTTTGTGGGATGATCATCGACAGTGGGTCTTGCGCCAATATCGCGAATGCGTATATGGTGAAGAAGTTAGAGTTACCCACTGAGAAACACCCGCACTCGTATAAGCTTCAATGGTTTAATAATAGCGGGGAGATAAAGGTGACCGAAAGGGTCAAGATCCCATTCAGCATAGGTAAGTACCGCGATGAGGTCCTCTGTGATATCGTCCCTATGCAAGCCGGCCATATTCTACCTGGAAGGCCTTGGCAATTTGATCGGGAGGTAAAACACGACAGTCGAGCAAACCAGTACTCTTTCGTATACGACAAGCAAAAGGTTGTGCGCGCACCCTTGAGCCCATCTCAAGTTCACGAGATGCAGCTTAAACTAGCCAAGGAACCCGAACCGAAGAAAGGGAGTTTCTATCTTAAGGCTAGTCAGGTGGTACATGTTGTTCATCAAGAACAGACGGTGTTGCTCTTGGTCTTCAAAGATCAATTGAGCCTCCGTACGGAGACATCGATGTTGAGTCCCGCTATTAGTCAACTCTTAGAGCACTATAGCGATGTATTTCCGGACGAGATTCCGGTGGGACTACCGCCTACACGTGGGATCGAGCATCAGATCAATCTGGTGCCGGGAGCACCATTACCTAATCGGCCCGCATACCGGATGAACCCCGAGGAAATCATAGAGCTCGAGAAGCAGGTTCAAGAGCTTATGAACAAGGCTTACATCTGAGAGTCCCTTAGTCCTTGTGCAGTTCCCGTACTACTTGTACCGAAAAATGACAGGACTTGGAGAACGTGTGTGGATTGCCGAGCAATCAATAACATCACAGTTAAGTACCGGCATCCCATACCCCGACTTGATGACATGCTCGATGAGCTAAGTGGTGCCAGGATCTTTTCAAAGATCGATCTTAATAGTGGATATCATCAAGTCCGGATGAAAGAAGGCGACAAATGGAAAACCGCCTTCAAGACCAAACAAGGTCTTTATGAGTGGCTCGTCATGCCATTCGG